AATTAGTGACAAGTCCTATCCTATAAATTTCAGGGCACACGCCACCAGAGCTCAGGCAACATCTTTGGCCTGCTTGAGAAACCTACCGATTTCTGAGATATGTAAGGCAGCCACTTGGAGTAAGCCAGTGACCTTTCATAAACCATTATGCACTTGATGTAGCAGCCAGAGCAAAAGCTAGTTTCACAGTAGCTGTGGTCCAGTCATTTTGTGGCTGATATGGCTGTGACTCCCTCCCACCTCTGTGCATGTCATTCAGTTAGAGTGGGATTCACTCTGACACATTCAAAAAATAAAATAGTTACCTACCCTACAGTAACTAGTTCTTTGAGTTGTTGTGGTCAGTGTGGCTCCCACAACCCATCCTCCAACCCTGCTGTTGGAGTCATCAACTACCATGGGCTTTGGAATGCCAGAGAACGAAGCAAGGGGCTGTGCCAGGCCACCTGGTCTTTATTTCCTTGTATGGGAGCGCTGGGAGGTATAGGACACAGGCACAGCCCTGCCAAGCACTGTTATCTGAAAAATAAAATCTGTTTTTGTGTGAGTGGAATGGACAAGAGCAACACATCTCGAAGAACAACAGTTACGAAAGAGAGATAATTTTTTAAGACCTGTTGGAAACAGATGTGCCTTTACATCATTTTTATTATTTAAAATTAATCTTCTGGCTAATTTTTTGCAATATTACCACTTGGTACATCTTTTTCCTTATTATGCCCTAATTTTAAGGCATCAAGTTATTCTTTGATCACTTGCTTATATCAACATTTCTTAGCTCCAAGGCCTAAAATAGCTAAGCTAAAATCTTGCAGGCCTCAACCTACAGGCCTTGCATTTCAACCCTACTTACTTAGATACCTAATACCTGATTATTCCCTCTTCATTCTGATCCGTCTTATACTTCTGTAATCCTGCAATTTAACTCTATTTAGCATACAATGCTTTTATATAACATAACATTAGTTAAGTATAACATCACACAATAAATGAACAATAAACTAAAATCATTGGCTACAATACTGACTACAACATCTTGAAGGACTAGTTGCTGTAGGAAAAGTAGCCGTATTTTTCTGCAGAATTCGGCAGCAGAGGGCCACAGAAAGCAGGAGGTTGTGTTGAAGATTTTGGGTCCAGAACACCACAGAGTACACATTCTTCTTTGTCCCCTGATTTGGATTCCAGAATACTACAGGCCCAATTCTTCACTGCTTTGACCAATATATTGTCATTTACACCTATGCAAAATAGATGCAAAACACAACACAACCATTCTGAAGGCATGTTTAGTCTACAGAAGATTGAGGGGGAGGATTTGATAACCATCTTCAAATATGTAAAAGGTTGTTATAAAGAGGACTGTGGTAATTGTTCTCCATGTACACTAGAAGTACACAAGAAGTAATCAGCTTAGTTTTCTGCAAGGGCGATTTAGGTTAGATATGAGGAAAAATGTTCTATAAGAGTAGTTAAATATTAACTACTACTATGCTCAGATAAATTGGTTAGTCTCTAAGGTGCCGCAAGTACTCCTTTTCTTTTTGCGAATACAGACTAACATGGTTGTTACTCTGAAATATTAAACAGGTTACCTAGAGAGGTTGTGGAATCCCTATCACTAGAAGTTTTTAAGAACAAGTTAGACAAACACCAGTCAAGGATGTGCTTGGTATGTTTGGTTCAGCCTTAGCATGAGGGATGGATTAAAAGACTGCTTGAGGTCCCTTCCGTCCTTACACTTCTATGGTATCATGGCATCCTTTTTACAGGTGTAAAAGATTTCACAGGTGCAAGGCAGTAAAGAATCAGGTACTATGTGCCTGGCATGTGGCTCTGGCCACTATTAGAAGACAGGATACTGTGCTAGATGGACCATTGGTCTGACCAGTATGGCCATTCTTATGACATTAAGACATATGACATTAGGAATGCAGCTTCCAGGCACACCAGTTTCTTCTCCACGAGAGAGCATTCAGGAAGCTTTGTGTGTCCGAGTCTACCCCTGTAGACCTTCCTTAGCACCTCTTCTTATACTTTAACTCTATATATAGATAGTAGACTTATGGGGATTAGTTATTTCTGAGGGATTTTGGGGGTATTTGTGCATCTTGTGGTGCTCTATCAAAAGGCAATTATGCTATGGCAGTTCTGCATCGACAAGATCATAATTCCAATAGCCAATCACTTGCCTGGAGTCCAGAATCATCTCATGGACCATCTCAGCAAGAATTTTTCTCAGAGTTACGAGTGGTCTCTGAAGCCCAGTGTTCTTGCAAGTCATTTTCGCGACTTGGAGCATCCCAGTGATTGACCTGTTCACTACAAGGGACAATAGGAAATGCCATCTGTTCTGCAGGCTCCCTGACCGACACCTTCCATCTCAGGTGCCACTCAGCTTTTCTATATACTTTTCCCCCAATTCCAATCATTCCGCAGGTTATCCTCAAGCTAAAAGCAGATTGGGCCAACCTCATCATCATCGGCATGGGCGATGCAGTGTTTGTTTACCAACCTTCTGGTGTTGTCAGTTCAACATCCTATATCCCTTCCTCTTGATCCCAGCCACCTCACACAGAATCATGGTCGCACTTTGCATCCTGTGCTCAGTTCCCTTCATCTTACTGCATGGCTGCTCTGTGGTTGAATGAGGAGGGAGAGTAATGTTTGGAGGCTGTTCAACAGGTCCTACTCAGTAGTAGAAAATTCTATATCAGAATGTCCTATTTAGCAAAGTGTAAGCAGTTTTCTATATGGGCATTGGCCCATGGATTTTAGCCAATGCTGGCTTGTATCCAGGACATCTTGGAGTACTTGCTGCATCTTCAGTCATTGGGTCTTATGCTTAGTTCGTTGAAGGTGCATCTGGCAGCAGTCTCAGCTTTCAATCACCCATTCGTGAAAGATTGGTATTTTCCAATGCCATGGTAGCAAGATTCTTTAAAGGAATTCTTCATCTCAGTCCGCCCATGCAAGAAACGGTTCCTTTGTGGGACCTTAACGTGGTCTTAGCAGCTCTGATGGGACCTCTGTTAGAGCCTCGGGCATCTTGTCCCTTTCCTCTCTTGTCAAAAAACTGCATTCCCAGTGGCGATAACATCTGCAAGCAGAGTGCGAGTTGCAGGCTCTCATGGCAGAACCTCCTTATACATGATTCTCCAAAGACAAAGTGATGATGTGGCTGCACTCAAAATTTTTGTCTAAGGTGGTTTTTTTCCCTAAGCTGCTTTCATCCCTGGAGGCACAGCGCCCTCACTCATTAGATGTCAAATGATGTCTAGCCTTCTGCCTGGACAGGACTAAAACTTTCTGTGCTTCACTCCTGCTCCTGGCAGTTTCCCAGTCTCAGTGAGCTCTGCTCCCTTCTTGGAGCCCAGGACCCACCACAGGAGGTAGCTGCACTCCAGTGTGGCTTTCCCTCCCCTGCAGCCTGTCTCCATCCCTCTCAACTGTCCATTAGCAGCCCTTTATAGGTCCAAATGCAGCCCAACCCTCTTTAATTGGCTGGATTGGACTCACTACTCTGGTCCAGGGAAGCTGGGCTTAGTCTATCGAGAGGGACCAGCTACTCTGTGACAGGTGGTAATAAAGTCTGACAGTTAGCTGAGATGTGTATTGGTTGAAAAAATATTACAGAAAATTCCCACATTCGTCACACAGGTGCATTGGAGAACACATGCACCCTGTGACCAGTGTACTGTTACATCATCCCACTCATTTCTTCCACTTCTCCAAGGCTCGTTGTTGAGCTTGCTTTCCAAATTTTAGCCTAACTGGTGCATGTATCTTCCTCCAGCCCAGAGCTGTGCCCCAGTCCTTTGGCATACGTCTCTCCATTTCAGGGTGGCACAGACCACCCCACAGTACCCAAAGCACCCATCTCCTGTAGGAGTTCCATCTTCATGCTTTCCTATCCAGAGTGCTTTCCAGGTGTGAGTGGCCCTCTTCACAAGGTTCCTTGGCCGGCCTTTTACATACTGCAGGACCAAGGGATATATCTCTTTTCAGGATAAATTCTGCTTAGGGGACATTCTTTGCTTTTTGGATGCTTGATTTGTTTGTTTCAGGGTGGTTTTTTGGAGAATGGATGTGGCATTTGAGTAGATGGAGGTGTCTGGGTATACCCCATGGGGAAAAGAGCAGTGGGATGCCATATGTAATCCGATGTTTTAACATAGCCAAAGTCCTCATTCCAGCAGGCTTAAGGACTCACTTATTGAGGGCTACTGCTGTCTCTGTGGCCTATTTTAAGCCATATCCTCTTGCTGAGATTTGTAGAGCAGTCACTTGGAGTTCAGTCCACATATTCACCAAATACTAGCATCCCACTCTGATGCTGGGTGTGTCGTGCTACTGTCTTTATTTAATTGAAAGTTCCTCAGCCCACCTTCCATGTGGACTGGACAGCTCATGAATCTCCCAAGAGTGGGAATGCACAGAGGCCCTTGAGAAAGAAAAGTTACCTAACAGTAACTCTGGCTGTTTGAGAGTTGTCTCTTTACTTTGCAACTGCTCACCTACCTTCCTCTCTGCCTCAGAGTTCTCTACACAGCTTGGACTCTGCTGTCCAGGTGAAGGACCTGAGGATGTTGTGGGGCTTCACTCCCTTTATATATAGTGTGACGTGCTGACAGTTCAGCATTATGGGGTTCAGGTGGGGAGGTGCTCATGCAGTCCCAACAATGCACCTTTCAAGATGGCTCTGCAAGCTCAAGGTGCGGGGCCATCATCCCCAGAGTGGGAATGCACAGAGGCAACTCTCAAACAGCCATAGTTACTAGTAAGTAACTTGTCTTTCTTTGCATTTGGAGAAGTGAGGCATGAGTATTGACAATATAAGGACTGTTGACTGGTTTACAAATGGCCTGATGTGGATCTGGTATGAATATGACTGGCCTAATATAAATCAGTGACAGCTTTGTTGTCTTTTCAGAGCAGGAATAGGATTTTGTTTTGTTTTAATGTTGTTTTGTTTCCTACTTGCCTTGGTTTCTTTTCAGTACAAAGCGCTTAATTGTAGATGTAATCCGCTTCCAGCCGGGGGAGACACTGACTGAAATCCTGGAAACTCCAGCCACCCATGAGCAGGTATGGAAAAGTAGTTTGGCTCCACTCCTTAGGATACTGGATTCTTTTAAATCTAGATGTATTTGGGTACAGGTACATATGAAAGCCTAAATTCTGGGATTGTAATATATGTGGCAATTTAGGTGTGGCATATCAATGTTTCAGACATGTGTATGTAAAATAGTGATGGGGATATATGGTGTATTTAATTTTTATTCTTGTGATGACTGGATTGTTGGAAGCCATATATATAGGGGGATGATGTAAGAAGCAGATTTCAGATAGGCCAGTGCTGGTACTAGGGTGTGAATGAGTCTACTAGGTATTGTTTAGTTCAACAACTAATTACTGTATTCAGTGCAGGAATCACTGAGTAAAATTTTGTGGCTTGTGTTATGTTGGAGATTAGACTATGTGATCATGGTTTTCCCTTATAGCTAAGAATATGATTCTGTCACAGAGGTCACGGATTCCATGACTTTCCAGGACCTCTGTGATGACTTCTGGGACAGGGCTGGAGCAGCTTTTCAGCCCCAGGGCTGTCAGAATAGCTGACTTGCGGCCAGTCCCAGGGCTGCAGAGCAGCAGTCACTGAAACAGCTGACCAGTGGTCAGCCCTGGGGCCAGGGCCGCTGAAACAGCTGATCGGCAGCCAGCCTCAGGGCCGCAGAGCCCCGGGGCTGTCAGAACAGCAGCTGCTGGAACAGTGGCTGGGATTGAATCAGTCCCCCTGGGGCAGGAGCAGCAGCGGTCAGCTCCTGCTGCTGGAGCAGGTGCAAGCCCTGGCAATGCTCTCTTTGTCCCCGTCCTTCCCTCCCAGGGTATTTTTAGTAAAAGTTAGGAACAGGTTATGGTCTTCCGTGAGTTTTTGTTTACTGCCCATGCCCTGACCCTGACTTTTACTAAAAATACCCCTGACAGAATCTTAACCTTACATATAGCCTTAAAATCTATCCACCCAACTTGTAATTCTCTTCTCTCCTAGGAAGCAGAGCATCAGAGAGCTATGCAGAGACGGGCCATTCGTGATGCCAAAACCCCTGACAAGATGAAAAAATCTAAATCTGTAAAGGAGGATAGCAACTTGAATCTTCAAGAAAAGAAGGAGAAAATCAAGACAGGCTTGAAGAAGTTGACAGAACTGGGAACCGTAAACCCAAAGAATAGATACCAGGAGCTAATCAATGATATTGCCAAGGTATTCTGACAGGAAGTCTCTGGTGGTTCGTTGGGTGTTTCAAATTATGGCCTCGTCATTTGTCACTCTTATTGAAGTTCCAATAGTGCATATGGCAGGAATTTTCCAAGGTATTAAAGTAGTAGTGAAAGCTGCCTCTCAGAGAGATGGGTAACACATGCTCTGCTAATCTCCAGCCCTTCATATACATGCAGGAATTCACTTTTCTCATAAACACTTTGTTGATGATGGGACCTCATTGACTGTGAGGAAGAGTGAATTTATTTTTTGGGGGGGGAAATTCCTGAGAATCATTCAGTAAGTGTAATATTAATTTTCCTCTTTTTAACTTCAGACCCTAATGCATGGACTTGCCCTCTTTGTTCCCTCCATTTTAAAGTTAAATTCAGTTATTCTAAAATTATTTCTTTTTAAATTGACATATTCTAAAATAATTTCTTTACAAAGATTACTCTTGTAAAGAAACCTTATTTTACATGTAAGTACAAAATAAACGTTCCTAATACTCTTGCAAAGGCATCCTCAGTAAACAATCCTCAGTAGAGGAGAAAGGGAGAAATAAAAAAAACATAGCTGCTGTCACATGTTTCATCCATTCTTACATTGATGACCGTTATCTAACGTCAAGTATTTACCAAAATTAATGCATCAGAGCGGTATACAAATACATAAATAAAATAAGTTGTTTCCTTCAGAGATCAGGTAAGAATAAAACCTTAAGTGATGCCTAATTATCCAAAATAATAATGGAAGCTAATTTGGAAACTAGACATTTTCATTTGTTCATAATAATCAAAATAACATTTATTTCTAAAAATAAAAGCTTAGTAAGGGAAGAAATGAAAAATTGTGCAGGACATTTCAGGAAAAATGTCAGGACATTTGATTTCTGTCTATAAGTATAAATTTGGTTAGAAAGTCTGTGAAAGGGCTAATTTAATGTCTGTATTAAACTTGGAAATGTGTGTTCCAAATGGACTCTCTTAATATTGTACACTGGCTTGATAAAGGGAGCACCCAGCAATGACTCAGTGGTAAAGCTTCACACATCTGCCATCCTTATCTAGGACATCCGGAACCAGCGCAGATACCGTCAGAGGAGAAAGGCAGAGTTGGTGAAGCTGCAGCAGACTTACAGTGCGCTGAACTCCAAAGCCACCTTTTATGAGGAACAGGTGGATTATTATAAAAGCTATATCAAAACCTGCTTGGATAACTTGGCCAGCAAGGGCAAGTGAGTACCTCAGAGCAGCGCTGGGTTTTTGGGAAAGGAATGCATAGACTACAGCTGAGAAGAGTGATGGTAGGAAGGTCTGGGATGGAGGAGAGTAGCTGGGTCATGTAAGAGGGCAAAAGGTATAGAAGGGAGGGAGGGAAATGGCTAGGGTGACAGCAGGTAGACTGAGGAGATGGAGGAAGATGGTTGGGTCTTAAAAGGAGGACTTGGAAGAATGTAACTTTTGTGATGCACGGTGGGTGGGGATCCCCAGGAATGTAAAGTACAGGAACACATGACAAAGTGGGTTGTTCTCTCTACTTCAAACATTTATACCAGATTCATAGATTCCAAGGCCAGAAGGAACCATTATGTAATTTGACCTTCTGTGTAGTCCAGGCTGTAGAATATCCCCAAAATAATTCCTAGAGCAGATCTTTTTTTTAAAAAAAAATCAATCTTGATTTAAAAATTGTCAGTGATGACGAATCCACCACCTGAAAATTCCAATGGTTAATTACTCTCACCGTTAAAAGTTTACAACTTATTTCCATTCTGAATTTGTCTAGCTTCAACTTGCAGCCTTATGGAATTTGGTCTTTCTGTTACTTTGTGCTCCCCCTATCTGTTTGTTGTATCCTTGTGTTGTCTCTTATCTTATACATAGGTTGTAAGTGGTCAGGGCAAGAACTCTTTTTATTATGCTTGTACAGTGCGCAGCACACTGGGGCAGGAGCCTCTAAGCATCCGTTCACTGCCACTTGCTCCTGTCAGGCCTCTGAGATGAACTGGCAGTATCTTGTGGTTTATCCTCTGATAGTTCAGGTAATTCATAATTTTGGGTTCCTTCTGCACACTTTACTGCTTCTGGGTCCCCAGAGAGCAATGAACAGAAATAGTTCTTTCCAAATTTTTAACAGTGAGATTGAGTAATCATTGGAAATGCTTGCCAAAGAATGTGGTAAATTACTGTCCCTTGAAATGTTTAAATTAAAATTGGATATCTTTCTGAAAGAGATGCTGTTTTTCAACCATAAAGTATTGGGGTTGCTACAGAAATTACTGGGTGAGGTTATGCAGCCTCTGTTGTGCAAGAGGTCAGAGTAGATTGTAATGGGTGCAGTATATATACATGTGCACGTGCCCACACGTATATAAATAGACTATAAACATATGGGCTCTGCCTTAAATACCTTAAAATGTGTGAATATTCTGTATTTATAACAACTATTTGTGAGACAATACCAGTTTATTACTCATTTCCTGCCATTCACCCAGATCAGATCAAATTCTGTCATTGTTTGAAATCACTCTTATTGCCTCATTCAGCTAATTTCAGTATTTGTTTTTCCTCAGAGTCTCTAAGAAGCCACGGGAGATGAAAGGCAAAAAGAGTAAAAAGATTTCTCTGAAATATACAGCAGCCCGACTTCATGAGAAGGGAGTCCTGTTGGAGATTGAAGACCTGCAAGTAAACCAGTGAGTTTTAACCTTTAGGCCTAACGTCCAAAGATCTTTTCCCTAGCTGTGAATAGGGAAACAAGTGTTCCTAATTCCGTCATCTCCTGCTTGTTAAACACTTTTTCCAGGGCTTCAGTGTAGAGCAGTGGTTCTCTGCCTACAGGCTGCTTGCAGCCCAATCAGCACACAGCTGCGACCCATATGACATCCTCAGAGCCAGGTTATGGATGCAACCCCTGTAACACATAGAACGCTGCACGTGAGGCTCACAATGGTAAATAGGTTGAGAATCACTGGTGTAGAGCAACAAAATTCCATCTCTCAGCCAGTGAGTAGTTTCTGGGTTCCATCAGTCACCAAAACTGTTCTGTAGAGACTAGTCTGAAATAATGACAAACTGATGTCTGGTTGAGCTCCTGGAGCTGTGTAGTGTTTGTAGATTCATAGATTTTTAAGGCTGAAAGACCAATATGATCATATAGTCTGTCCTCCTGCATAGCACAGGTCAAAGAGTCAGCAATTTTTGCATCAAGCCCATCACTTTTGGTTGAGCTAGAGCATGTCTTTTAGAAAGACATCCTTTAAAGACTTCCAAGTGATGGAGAATCCATCTCATCCCGAGTAAAGTTTTTCCAATGAGTAATTACTGCATTGTTAAAAACTGTCACTTTATATCTAGTCTGAATTTGTCTATCTTCACCTTCCAATCATTGGGACTCATTATGCCTTTTTCTGATAAATTAAAGAACTGTCCACTGTCAGACTTCTTACATCCCCATATGTTCAATTTTATGGTATCCATACTGCATGTTGTCAGTATATGCCAGAGTATCCTATTCATCAGTACAGTGCAATTCTTACTACTTTCACATGGAACAAATATGGGATCCAGCAGGTATGTAGACCATATTATGTTTTTATTACAATTGAAAAGTTTCTAAGGTTGCTGTGCTATGTGTGATCTATCCATAGTCCCATTAGGTGCATAGTGTGTGGGGATACAGAGTCAGAGTAAATGTTTTCTGAAACTTTCATTCCAAATGTCCTAACTTTCATGTATTTTGATTTCTTTTAAAACTGCAGCTTTTCTAATATGGGGTTTTAATGGATATTTCCAATCTTAACTCTAACATAAAGATTTTTTTTTCTGGGAAATGAAAGCAAAATTGGACAATACGCCAGAAAATATGCGGAATGGAACCAACCCTTCACTGACGGGTGTTGGGGAAAGAACAGATTAGATAACCTAATCTGTTTTTTTCCATTTCTCAGTTCTATGAAAAACAGCAACCAAGATTGTCTGATAAGATTTTTTTTTTTGGGGGGGGGAAATTCCCCCTCATGGTCCTCCACCTCTCCCCTCAACCCCCAGAGCCATCTATCTGCATCTACCACAATCAGACTACAAAACCTTCCTCATCAAAGTTGGGTTAGGGTCAAACAGGGCCTATGTCCCCCAAAATTTCATGGCCTCCCAGGAAAACACCACCTTCTTAGTCACCTAAATACACTATTGGCTTACAGAGGTCACCCCTGAGCCCTTAATAATTCTCAAAATGTAACTGTAAACAGAGAATCATCTTTAAGTGGGTCTGTTTCTAGTGGGGTCTCGGGGATCATTTTGTGGTCCTATGCTATTTAACGTTTTTATCAGTGACCTGGAAGAAAACAAAATCATCACTGATATAGTTTGAAGATGACACAAATATTGAGAGAGTGGTAAACAATGAAGAGGACAGGTCACAGATTTAAAGTGATCCAGATAACTTGGTAAGCTGGGCATAAGCAAACAGTATGTGTTTTAATACAGCTGAATGTTAAATTAAGAAAAAAAATGTAGGCCATACTCACAGAACGGGGGGCATGATCCTGGGAATCAGTGACTCTAAAAAAGACTTGGGGTCATGACGAATAATCAGCTGAGCATGAGCTCCCAGTACAACACAGTGGTCCAAAGAGCAATGCAACCCTTAGATGCATAAACAGGATAAATCTCAAGTAGGAGTAAAGAGGTTATGTTACCTCTGTATTTGGCACTGGTGCAACCACTGCTAGAATACTGTGTCTAGTTCCGGAGTCCACAGTTCAAGAAAAAGATTGCTAAATTGGAGAGGGTCCAGAGAAGAGCTATGAGAATAGTTAAAGGATTGGAAAATATGCCTGATATAGTGACAGACTCAAGAAGATCAATCTATTTAGCTTAACAAAGGGAAGGTTAAAAGGTGACTTGAGCTCAGCCTGTAAGTACCTAGATCGGGAATAAATATTTGACAGTAGGCTCTTTGGTCCAGCTGTCTAAGATAAGACAAGATCCAAGGGTGTAAGCTGAAGCTAGACAAGTTCAGACTAGAAATAAAGTGTAAATTTTTCGTAGTGAGGGTAGTTAACCATTGAAACGGTTTACCAAGGATTGTGGTGGATTCTCCATCACTGGCAATTTTTAAATCCAGATTGGATGTTTTTCCAAAAGATCTACTTTAGTTCAGAAAGGAATTATTTCAAGGATGTTATATGGCCTGTGTTATGCAAGAGGTCAAACCAGATGATCCCAATGACCCCTTCTGGCCTTAGAATCTAAGAGGCTTCCTCTCAATGAGGCAGCCTACCTCACCTCAGCAGGAAGCTGGTTTGCCGAGAGTTGTACGCTGTACCGCTGCCTACTGCTCTGCGTTTGTCTCTCCCTCTCTACTGAGTTTGAGATTCCTTATTCACACTACTTGCAAGGATCACTGTGTTAATATAGTCCTCCACTACCCCTTCTTCATTAGAAATTGTATGTTAAATAATACATTTATTTTTATTTGCCAACCTTCATAGGTTTAAAAATGTGATATTTGAAATCAACCCAACAGAGGAAGTAGGAGACTTTGAGGTCAAAGCAAAATTCATGGGCGTTCAGATGGAAACATTCATGTTACATTATCAGGTAAGGACCCTCCTATTTAATGCTGAAAACCTGTGGTGTACAACCTATGTAGACTGCCTTTGGCCACCAAAATCTTTCATGTAGACTTCTCATAGTCACTTTCTGTTAAGCTAAGATTTCATAAATAAATATTTGTATTCATTATGCTTCAGAGAGAATTAACAGAACAGATAATCTTCAAGTGATCCATCCCCTGTTGCCTATTCCCAGTTTCTGGCAAAACTGAGGCTAGGGACACCATTGATGGACCTTGTGACGGGTTGGACCCCCCTTTTGGGTGGGATCCCATCAAGCCTACCCGTCCTACTAGCCTGGGTTTCCCTTACTCTGTGCTGCTATGACAGGCTCTCAAGCCTCTTTTCAGCACACACACAGGCAGGGATACACCCAGCTGTAGAATCATACAGAGTCTGCAATTAGCTGTCTGTGGGAGGACTCAGCTAGGGGAATGCCCAGCTCTCCCATGCACACACCCTCTGGAGTGTAAACCCAAAATTATATTGTCTTGCACTGTACAGAGAACTATATAGCATGCTCATAAAAATCACCCCCTCCCTCAATGTGGCGGGAGATATGTACAGCTCCTTTCCACACCAGGGCATGTATGAATTGCACAATCTGGGTTTTGGAATAAACAAAAAATAAGTTTATTAACTACAAAAGGTAAATTGTAAGTGATTATAAGGGATAGCAAACAACAAAGCAGATTACTGAGCAGATAAAACAAAACACGCAACCTAAGCTTAATTCACTAAAGAAACACATTACGAAAAGAAAAGGAGTACTAGTGGCACCTTAGAGACTAACCAGTTTATTTGAGCATAAGCTTTCGTTTCACAAAAGCTTATGCTCAAATAAATTGGTTAGTCTCTAAGGTGCCACTAGTACTCCTTTTCTTTTCTCGAATACAGACTAACATGGCTGCTACTCTGAAACATTACAAATAGTAATTTCTCACCCTAAATGTTGTTTTAGGCAGGTTGCAGAGTTTTTGCAGCTTAGATTTCCAGTTATTTCTTTTCACAGACTATACTCCTGTCTCAGCCTGGACTCAGCCCTTGCCTTTCCCCAGCTTCGCTCCTTTGTTTCTTCAGGTGCTTTCAGGAGTCCTCCTTCTTGAGCTGGGAGGCAATGGAGAAGAGCCAGATTAACTCCCTTCCCAGCCTTAAATAGGATTTACATAAGGCGGGAATCCTTTGTTTCCATTGGAAAAGTACCAGCAGTGTCCAAGGTGGTATTCTGTACCAGGTGACATTATCACATGACCTTGCAGTGTTAAAGCCACCATGAGACAAAGTTTATTTGTAACGTCCACAGGAAGGACCTCCAGGAAGATGAGAGATCAGCATCTTCAAAGACCCATTCTGTTGTCTTTCCTAATGGCCCATTCAGGCTGAATGCCATACTGTCCAGTGGGCATTCCCCAAGTACACACACAGTTGTAATTGTTAGATTGTCAATATTCCTAACTTCAGATACAGAGCTGACACATGCATACAAATAGGATAACCACATTCAGCAAATCATAATCTTTTCAATGATACCTCACATGACCCATCTCGCATAAAACATGTCTTATTTATGCCATATTCATATTACAACAATATTTTTATGAAGAATATGAGTGTGGCGTCACAAACCTATCCTCCATGAATTTAAATAGTTCTTTTTTTAACCCTGTTACAGTCTTGGCCTTCACAACATCCTCTGGCAAAGAGTTGCACAGGTTTATTGTGCACTGTGTGACGAAATACTTCCTTTTGTTTGTTTTAAACCTGCTGCCTGTTAATTTCACTTGGTGATCCCTAGTTCTTGTGTTCTGAGAAGGAGTAAATAACATGTCCTTATTTACTTTCTCCACACCTGTCATGATTTTATAGACCTCTATTATATCCCACCATAGTTGTCTCTTTTCCAAGCTCAAAAGTCCCAGTCTTGTTAATCTCTCCTCATATGGAAGCCGTTCCATACCCCTAATCATTTTTGTTGCCCTTTTCTGAATCTTTTCTAATGCCAATATATCTTTTTTGAGACAGGGTGACCACATCTGCACACAGTATTCAGGATGTGGGCGTACCATGGATTTATATAGAGGCAATATGATATTTTCTGTCTTATTATCTATCCCTTTCCTAATGATTCCTAACATTCTGTTAGCAAGAATGTCCACACCAGCGCTAAGTCAGCAGGAGATGCTCTCCTGAGTTCATAGCTTCCACATCTCACTGAGGTGGAATAATTATGCCGATGGGAGAGCACTCTTCCGTCAGCATAGCGCATCTTCACCAGATGCGCTGATGCAGCTGCACCTATGTATCATGGTAGTGTAGACTAGCCCTCAAATTACGGCTCATGGAGTTGGCCCTTCAACCCCTGGAATCCCAGTGGGAGCTCTTGCTGCAACCCTCTACTTCGAAGGGAGATGAGCCCAGAGAGATGAGCCACTCACACAAGGCCTCTAAGAAAAGGTCTGTGAGTCCGTGTAGTGAGCCCAGATCAAGCCAAAAACAATCTCTGGCTCCATCAGTATCATCAGTACTGATGGCAATGAAGGCGTCTAAAACTGGTACCCAGGGCGTGCACAGTACCAAACTGACAGGGCAAGTCAGACTACCCAAAGACCCGAAGGGCACACGCAAAGAAACACCAGTACCACAGGGGCATGAAAAACATAGAAGATCCACTCCAGGGAAGGCTCTCAGTATGGACATCTGCACCGGTACCAATTCTGGTGCACCTGGCACCAACAGACCTCGCGGCCAGATCCGCATGTCTGACTCATTCAGTGCAAGCCTCTGAGCACCGACAACCACTGCCAGTACTGACGTCATCTGCACTGCCAGATTTCCGGTGCGTGACAGATCTTTCGGTATCCAACGCACCAGACTCGCCCCTTCTCAGTACTGGGGCACTGGTACCAAGTTCATCCAGAGCCCGAGACTGGAATTTCTCTTTTCCCACCTGCCTCCCAAATCTATCATTGTGGACACAGTTAACTCTAATGGCCACCAGCACCAGTTCAGATCCACCCCTTATGACCGGGACTGGATATGTTTGGATCTGTTCAGCAGGAAAGCATTTTCATAAGCCACCCTCCAGTTCTGCGTAGCAAACTACCAAGTCTTGTTGGCAAAATATGACTACCAAAATTACATGAAACTCGGTTCCTTTATTAAGCAACTGTCTGATTCTCACAAGGAACAATTCAAGGCAGTAGTCAACAAGGGCTAACTGGTGGCAAAGACGTCCCTCCAAATTGCATCTAGCATAGATGACATGGCAGCATGCTTGATTTCCACGGCCATTGTGATGAGACGGGCTTCATAGCTTCACTTAGCTGGCTTCCTTAAAGAGATCAAAACTATGGTGGAAGACCTTCCTTTTGAAGGGACAAAGTTATTTGCTGAGAAGACTGATGCATTGATTCACACATTGAAAGAATCTAGGGCAACTCTTTGGTCCCTTGGGATCTATTCTCCTGCCTACAAAAGAAAGAACAGCCTTCAGCCACCATTTAAGCCCTGCTCATCACAATACACATCTCAGTACTCGTCACAGAGATCTTATGGGACACAGAGGAAGAAGCCTACGTTCCACAGGCGAAAGTACTGGGGATATCAATCAACTTTCTTTCAGCCCTCCACTTTGAAACGGCAATTTTGACGGGTTGGTCAAGGTGCCTGTAGAACATTCTCACCATCTCATGCTGTAAAACCTCACCTATCCCTTCGGCAACCATCTTACCCCTTTCCACAACACGTGGGAACAGATAACCTCCAACAAGTGGCTGCTGGAGATCATTTGGGATGGTTATGCCATCCATTTCTCCTCCCTCCCAAACACCCTTCCCCATCCCTCTTCAGGGACCTTTCTCATGAGAGTCTATGTCAGGAGGCAAACCGTCTCCCCAGCATAGAAGCCGTAAAGCCTGTGTCCATACATCTAAGAGGTAAAGGCTTCTACTCTCGCTACTTTGTAATTCCAAAGAAGAAGGGAGGTTGGAGTCCCATGCTGGACCTGAGAGCGCTCAACAGATATATCAAAGTGCAGAAGTTCAAGGTGGTCACTCTATCAATGATTTTTCCAGCACTAAAGAAAGGAAATTGATTCTCGGCCCTCAACCTCCAAGATACATATTTCCACATTTCCATCATACCAAGTCAGAGACATTACCTGAGATTCACACTAGGCCAAGACCACTGCCAGTGCAGAGTACTCCCCTTCGGCCCCCAGGGTATTTTCCAAGTAGTGACAGGCCACTTACGGTTTCAGAGTGTCATAATTTATCCTTACCTGGACAACTGCCTTCTCAGGGCATATTCTTTCACCAAAGCCCAGTGAGTCACCCAGACTACACTGAATCTGTTCCAGAATCTGGGCCTACAAATCAACACACAAAAATCAACATCAACACCTGTGTAAAGACTAGAATTCAGAGACACTCCTCCCAAGTCACAGATTCCTCAGTCTTTCAACACTGGTAGAGACAATTCAATCCAGCCCCCAGATTTCAGCCAGACACCACCTCCACCTTCTAGAGCACATGGTCATGGGCACATCGGTCCTAGCTTGTGCCAAACTATTCATGAGATGCTTCCAAGCCTAGTTCAATTCATTTTACAGGCCAAACAGAGACAGCATAGACAAATTATTATTGATGCCCACCAAGGTCAAGGAATCCTTAGATTGGTGGAAAGACCCAATGAATGTATGTACCGCAGTCCCATTTGTTCAGCCTCCCCTATTGTTACCCCTGAGTGCCAATGTATAGGATGGGGTGCACATCTCAACGGTCTGCACATACCTTTGCAGAACATTATTGCATCCTCAGGGAGGGACTCGGCTGCAGAGCCAGATTTGGTGCCACAGAGCTATCCTCTATAATGGATTTGACTCCAAAGCCCCAGCCTCCTAGTGGTGGGTACTGCTCGGGAATTACCTACAGTGAAGCACCCATTGGGACACTACTCGAAGAAGAAAAAAGAATGTACTTACCTTGTGCAGTAACAATGGTTCTTCAAGATGTGTCCCTCTATTGGTGCTCCATGACCCACTCTCCTCCCTTCTACTTCGGAGTTCTAGTAATTGACTCTGCAGTAGAGAAAGAACTGAGGAGGGATTGCCCATGCACATTGGCTAGCCTCGTGGCAGGTGAGGAGCAGTGCATGCATGGGTGGGATGGTCTGCTATCAGAATTCTCCGATCAGCAGTGCAGGGACGCACACACCTACAGTGAAGCACCCATAGGGGGACACATCTTGAAGAACCATAGTTACTACACAAGGTGAGTAATTTCTTCTTGTTTTCACTTGAACCTAAGGACAAAATTTAGGATTAATTAATTTACAATGTTCTGATCTGTGTTTAGTCAAGGAAAAGTCTTACATTTCTGTAATACCTGCCATGTGACAGCTATCTGGATTTATATAAGAGCACTGAAATGTGTGCATAATTTCTAGGAAATACTGATTTGCAAATAGATCATTGTTATAAAAATAGTCCTTCAATAACTGACCATATGGATCCTCACGCTTTAGCCTAAACTCACAATCTTCTAGTGGTCTTCAGTGGTCTCAGTTGCCCTTCATTTACTTTTGACCATGAAAGTTGCAGTGAGTTTGGAGCTCATTCAGTGTCCTCAATATTTCCCTCATCAGTTATTGGTTTTTCATTTTTCTTCCCCTTTTGTGTGTCGTCTTGTGCGTTTAGTTAGTCAGCTTTTTTATTTTAATTGATGTTGATGCCAGTGCAGGCAGCCTGCAGGTCCCACTCCTCATGAGCAGCTTTGTTTTTCCTGAACATCAGTCCTAGGATGCAGTTTCTCTTAGTGTCTTTTGGCCCAACAGACAGCATAACTGGGGCAACGGAGAACTCCAGCTTTATGAACTATGCTTCATGCAATGCTGTGATACCCATTGCAGCCTCTCATTTTTGGGTGCCTCTGGGAGAAGGTCAGAATTAGTGTGAGTTCACTCTTCAAAGAAAAGAACAGCTATTTCAAACCCCTACTAGCAGGGGAGGCTTCTTCAGGCCCAGTCACCTGAGTCTAGTACCATTAGCATTGAGAGACACTGTGGCTCTGACTTGACAGGGTGGTTTTATGACCAACATGATGAACAGCGTCAAGGTCATTCGTCTCATCTGATCAACTGAGTTGGATACCAATCATCCACCATTGTCAATGTTGAGGGGTGTCTTGATTTCAAAGACCTAATCACTGTAAGTGACTTTAGGTCCAGCAAAAGTGGCACTGAAGTTCCCAATGTCACCTGAGCCAATGAGGAACATTAAGTTATATGTCATGAGCGCCTCGGAGCTGAGCCTTTCTGAGTGGTCTTGGGACTCTCTGTTGGCTTCCCTTGCCTCTGGGCTGGAGAAAGATGGAGAAACAACATTGTAGTCTCCTTGCTCCCATTCAACCTCAGTGAAGGTGAGGAAGTATAGTACTGTGTCACAGGGTGGCTGGCTGGCTCCTGTGACTGAAGTAGGTCCAGCTCCAGTGCCATAGGAGATGGTCCCAGTTAAAGGGGTGGTGTCAAATTTGTAAAAGGTGAGCTGAGGAGCAGTTTTGTTTACTTTGCTTAAAGTTTGGGCAATAAACCTGCCTAAGGGAGACTGAGAGTGTGACAGCTTGTCTTTAGCAAGCTCTGCCTCATCACTAGGGCCCTACCAAATTCATTGTCGTGAAAAACGTATCATGGGCCATGAAATCTGGTCTTCATACTATACAGATTTCACGGGTGAGACCAGCGTTTCTCAAAATGGACTGTGAATTTGGTAGGGCCCTACTTATCACACACTATCAGTCGCCCAGAAAATCTTCAATACTGAGAGAGACTGGCACAGGGGGATGCCTTATTGTCTATCCATTCAGTATCTACCTCCTCAGAGCTATCTGACACTGGAAAGGTGTCATTGTAGCAGTCTTGCCTCCATTGATAATGAAACTGGTTCAGTCTTCTTCATTTGATACTAGCTGGGAGCTTTTCCTGTTGTTCTGCTTTAAATTTCAGTGCCTAAGTCACCTCAGTGGGTGCTGTGGCTGCTTAACTTCTTTGAAAATCAGGCCATATATTTTATGGCTGTGAAATATGATTAAATGATGGAAGGAAGGACTCTATCTAAGGGTTATGGAGATTGTATGGTAATCACATGAACGAAGAGCCTGGAAATGACTGTTTAGATTTGGATTGTTGTGGTCTTTTTAGATATTTGAAACAGAGGTGAGAGCTAAGGAGAGTTTTCATTTAAATTTTCCTATTAATACAAAAAATCATAAAACTAATATAATCAGAACTAAAACAACGAGGAGTCCTTGTGGCACCTTAGAGACTAACAAATTTGTTTGGGCATAAGCTTTCATGGGCTAGGATCCACTTTATCAGATGCATGGAGTGGAAAATACAGTAGCGTGTGTGTGTGTGTGTATATACACACACACATAGTACATGAAAAGATGGGAGTTGCCTTACCAAAGGGGGGGGTCAGTCTAACGGGGCAATTCAATTAACAGTAGAATACCAAGGGAGGAAAAATCACTTTTGTAGTGGTAATGAGGGTGGCCCATTTCAAACAGTTGACAAGAAGGTGTGAGTAACAGTAGGGGGAAATTAGTATGGTAAAATTAGTTTTTGTAATGACCCATCCACTCCCAGTCTCTATTCAGGCCTAATTCGATGGTGTCCAGTTTGCAAATTAATTCCAGTTCTGCAGTTTCACGTAAGAGTCTGTTTTTGAAGTTTTTTTGTTGAAGAATTGCCACTTCTAAGTTTGTTAGTGAGTGACCAGGGAGATTGAAGTGTTCTCTGACTGGTTTTTGAATGTTATAATTCCTGATGTCAAGATTTGTGTCCATTTATTCTTTTGCATAGACTGTCCAGTTTGGCCAATGTACATGGCAGAGGGGCATTGCTGGCACATGATGGCATGTATCACATTGGTAGATGTGCAGGTGAACGAGCCCCTGATGATCTGGCTGATGTGGTTAGGTCCTATGATGGTGTCCCTTGAATAGATATGAGGACAGAGTTGGTACCGGGGTTTGTTGCAGGGTTTGGTTCCTGGGTTAGTGTTTTTGTTGTATGGTGCGTAGTTGCTGGTGAGTATTTGCTTCAGGTTGGGGGACTGTCTGTAAGCGAGGGCTGGCCTGTTTCCCAAGGCCTGTGAGAGGAAGGGATCGTCCTTCAGGATAGGTTGTAGATCCTTGACTCCTTGTTGTTTTTGCTGATACAGACTAACACGGCTACCACTCTGAAAATAATCCAAACTGTCTATTAATAGAATATTTTTCATACTTTCCAGGTCGAATCAATGGGTCTTTAAGGTATATGCTTATATGTCATAGACTCTCACTAGATATTAATTCTTCAGAAACCTTCTTTGCACTAGTGTCTTGTAACTTATCCCTTTCCCATTCAGCCTCTATGGATTTCTCACTAATCAACATGTTCTCTTTGACAGGATCTTTTGCAGCTGCAGTATGAAGGTGTTGCTGTCATGAAGTTGTTTGACAGAGCAAAAGTCAACGTCAACCTCCTGATCTTTCTTCTGAACAAGAAGTTCTATGGGAAATAATTGCTATCTCCCAGAGGAGCTATGAAAACGGAGGTTAATGGAAAAACTGCATCTTTGTTTCTTAATGTCCCCTTTCCCCTGTCAGAACCAAGGACACCTATATATTGATGTACCTCCCTCTGCCCAAACTACAAGTATATTACTTCATGGTGAAGGACTAGACTGTCAGTGAATTAATAATTCTGACTGAGTCCACAGGGACTCTATCTGTCTTACTGCTATGATCTTATTTTCTATGACTTTTCAGATTCCTTGAGAAACATTTAGTTTAGATGTTTTCCATGTATTATTACAATGGCATTGGGGATTAAACAGTTGTTAGAATATATTTTGGGTTTCTGGGTGTGTTCTTTGCCTAAACGTTTGGATGGTGGGGCTTGAATTCTTGTTACTTGTTGTAGAAGAAGAAAGCTAGCACTGCAGAGCAACCAGGTCTGCCTCTGTATCTAGAAGCAGAACAGGATTTCAGATCATATTTAGACTCCCTCTCTAAAATTCTAAGAAAACACAATAGGACATCAACTTAGAGAAATATTTGCTCTGTGCCATAGCATGGAGAAATTGGAAAATTTTTAACCAGCTGATTCTGTCCATAGCAGTGTCCATTACCGAAGGCTCACTACCAGGATGACTGAACTGTTTATAGATTTGATTTGAAAGACCTAAACTTGAGTTCTATTTTAGCATGTTATTCGATGTATGTATGTAGCTCTGTCCCCAAGCAATGGGGAGAAGAAAAGATTTTGTCACAGAACTGAGTCAAATTAAAAGTGGTCAATGGCCAGCTTGCGGTGGTGGTGACTATTAGCTGCATGGGACTATGCAGCAGAGTCCTAGATGGCTTTCAGTGACGTAAGTGATGCTGAATTATTACTATACATACATTATTGTAGCCATGTAGAAGATCTTTAATGATCCAATTTTTTTTTTCAATATTTGTTTCTCTTAAAGACCCCTTACTAATATACAGATTGTCCCGGTAGTAGAGGAAATGAGGAATGTGTGTGCTAATGCCTAAAGATGAAAAGCGGCCTTTTATTGGGGGTGGAGGAGAGAGATTTTTGAATCAGTTGAGAAAAGTTTATTTTACAGGTTTCAGAGGAACAGCCGTGTTAGTCTGTATCTCTAAGGTGCCACAAGTACTCCTTTTCTTTTTGTTTATTTTACAGTTTCGCTTCAGAAGCCTTTAGAACATTACAGAAAAACTTTCGAAGTTAGCTTAGTGCTTCACATATCTGTAACTGATGCCATTAAACACTATGATCTACCTGCAGACTTGCCAAAGGGAATTTACTCTGCCTTAAATAGTCTGAGCTGTTAAATTATTTACATTTTACCAAATGTACCTGAGCAAATGACTCCCCGTTTCCTTTACTACTTAGATATTCACTCATTATTATGGTGGTGCCTGTTATATTGCTACTATACCTTACAGAAATGCAAAACGACCGTTATGAACTCTGATATTCACTAACTTACTTTTAGCCTGAAACAAACTTTTGTTGCCCAAGTTATCTGCTCCAGACAAAAATGTCTTTTTTTTTTAATAATTTTAAAATTTGTTTGACTGTTTTATGTTCCCAGAGTACAGGATAGAATAAAGTCTCTCTGTTCTTAGACACACACACATACGCCGTATGTTTATTTCAAATAATTTAGTTTTATAATTTAATCATAGTCTGCCATTTTAGTGTTTTTTAAATGAAACCAGTTACTGATGTTTGAAAACTCTCTGCCTGCCTTGGGAGTCAGTTGTTTCCCATAGTCTTTTTAAGAGGCTAATCCTATGTGGCTCTACCTTGTAACAATCCCTGTCATGCAAACAGTAACAAACTGATTTTATCTTGGTCCATGCAGGATTAGCATAATAAAAAGAACAATGACGCAACTTTCCTTTTGGATGTAAAACTGACCACAGCCAGGAAGTTCCAAATAGGGGAAATTCTGCTGTCAGAGCGGAGAACCTCAAAATAGGAATTCTATGCCCCGATCCCAAAATAGCATCAGGACAGGGACAGGATAAAAGTCTTGACTTGCATCTACCTGTCTCTTTTCAATGTGAGTTCCCACTGCTGTTTAACTGAAGCGTTTTAAATCTAACTATCATTTTTTAGTTAGGGATAGTGACAATAGGACATTCTCAAATTATTCTTCAGGGGAATAAAACAGCACCCTGACATGTTCAACAAAAGGGATTAAATTTTCTCCATTTAAAAAGGGCTACTGTCCCAGAAGTCTGCATGGCTGCCTCCTCACCGTAACCCAGTCTAAATTCAAGAAATAGCTAATGAGACTAATAGTTAGTGAGGCTGTTCTAATAAAATTTAAATATGAGGAGAAGATATTTGGAATATTTATAAGAACAGCCAATACCTATTTCAAAACAGTTTTGGTGCAAATTGACAAGACAACTAGGTAGTAAAAGAGTGAACCCATTTTATGGGAACAGGTGTACCAATTTTAGTTAAATAACAGTGTGTAACTTTGGTAGGAGTTTTTAAAGAATGGAGACGCTGGCAGAAAGATCCAGTTTCAGCACTGAAATTTTGTAATTTGTTACTTTATTTATTGGTGTCCTAGCTTTCCCTTTTCTCTTCCCTCTCCCCTCCCGCACAATCATTTTATTTATCTTGGGCTTAAATTCCTTTCAAATAACTAGATGGCTTAGCCTATTGTTTGCACATAAAATGTCTTTGTATTTCTCATCTAAATAAAAGATCATTTGTTCACATCTCAGTGTTTGAATCTGTTTGAGACCAGCTTTAATTTGTGTGTCAATTTGTTAAACCCAGCACTTTGCTTTTTAGTGAAAACTTCTAATCACAGGACCACAACAGCATATACACATACAGACATTTTCTGCATTTCTCAGATGTCAGTCACTTAGGAACAAGACTATCATCTCACCCCATTATAATGTGTCAGACCTGCACATGCCTCTCAGCTTCTGATTCAGTTTCCTAGTTACACTGCATTTCATGCACTCCAATTTAAAAAGTGCTATCAAACTCCGTTTCCATCATTTCCATAGGAAAGGCAGAACCACAGTCTTTAGGTTCCTAGGGAATCCATGGCTTCAGAGCTACTTTGGAACCAGCAACTCTGGAACTTCTCAACCCAGCAGTCTTCTCAGTCTGCCGTCCAGGCTCAGTCACAGAACCCCTGTGTGCCTGGCTGAACTCCAAATAATCAGGATATTTAAACTTCACTGACTGGACAATCCCCAGTGCAAATGCTGACCCTAGCCAATTCCCCAAGTGTTTAGAGAGCATTTTCTGGGTACATGTTAAGATTAGCCAACCTAACTGGGGATGCAGTGGTCACAGGCACCTTATAAAATGGGTGTGCTGTGCCCTTTGAGGTTACAAGAAATATCTAATGCAAAGGTGTTAAGATGTTTCAATTAACTTATATTTTACTGTTATAGCACTAAATGACAGAATTTTGATTTGCAGTTGTAGTTGGAAAAGAGCCTGAGACATAAGCCTTTGTATCAGAGGCCTGGTATGAGGCATGAGGCCTGGGCTAAAGTAGTTGTCAAAGCTTTACTGATATAAACCAAAGACAAGCTGTGACCAACAGGAAGGACCTGCTCACAGAATCTGGCAAGAACAGGGCTGATATTGTAGAAACACACATTCCTAAGAAGTGCTTGGCATAGAGTACTCACGTAAACACATCCCGATACCAAGGATGGTACAAAAACATCCCCTAAGGATAACAGGAACATACTGACCCCTCCTAAAAGATAATGTCAGGATGACAGTATGTAATAAAGAAATTTTGATCGAACCAACATGTACAAGGTGATGGGTGTTAAGTAGCCATGTCGGGATGCAATAACTAATTATGGCAGAGGGGCAGTACATAATTTGTTTGTATCAGGGTATAAAGATGTATTTCAGAGGGAGTGTCTTTGTCTAGCCTAGGGAGGAGTGGAAAGTCCTCCCATTCACTGAGCTGGTCCATTGTTACGGGCAAAAACGAATTAGTGGTCCGGTAGAGTCTGCAGGATACTAGTACCGTGTTTCATTGACAATAGACCTGGCCTGGTGTGTACATTGACAGATCTTGTGGTCATTGAGTGATTCATTCAAGGTCTGCTGTGCCAGCTCTCTGCGCAGAGCTGGAGGAGAACACACCCATGCAGTTGAACATCTAACCACACTGGTGACCCACGACCACTGATCTGGTAAGTAAGTGAGCTATCTTCTCTAGGCATCGCAAACTAATAAGACACAAAAAACACAAGCTAGGGAACTCTCTTATCCTCACAGAGGTTGATGAAATTTGGACATGGTGTATTGCCAGCAAGGGGGACCCATATAAAGTTTAAAAAGAAAGTGCGGAAAAATGAATTGGAATATGTAAAGCAAGGGCAGAAACTGAAGCCTTGAAAAACAATAACAAATAACCTTAACAATAACAAATAAAAAATGTATAATAATGCAATTAAGGGCCATGGCAGTAAAATGGCTTAAATAACATGCCACAATACTGGCCCGGCATGTTATGGAAAAAAACAGGGAAGTAGAAGAGGTAACCCAGGCTTTGGAAGACATATCCAAGACTGTTGAGCACTGGAAAGCCCAAGGTCTTTTAGCTGGGCAGCAGGCACTCCAGACACATGGTATGCTCAAAGAGAGAAAGCAGGTGAATAAAAAATTGGAAACAGCTGTGGAAAACCTGCAAAAGAAAGATGTGCCATCCCCTGCTATCCAACAACAGACCTCAAGTGCTTTTATAATACCTGAAGGATGGGGACAGAAATGGAAACAGGTGGCCCTAACCAAATTAAAAGATGGAATATGGGATAATTGTGATGGATGCTACACTGGGGACATGTGGAATGACTCAGGTTGGCCACCATCCAATGGCCCGTGGTCAGAGGCTACTGCACCGAAAGTGGATTGAAATTATTAAATGAGATTGAAGATACAACTCAAAAATTAGAAAACCGCTTGAAAGGGCCATGGCTCCATACTGAGCGTGGCAAAAAAGGAAAATATTATGCCTCAGTGTGGTCACTACACACCTCACCTACATCAAGCTAGTGGTATAACAGCCAGGCTTGATGCCTTACAAAAAAAATCAATGAATTAACTGCCCGGTTGGGGTTGGGGTTAGGGGGAGGGGTCAGGGTTTAGGGGGAGGGGAGGGTAAGGGTTTAGGGGGAGGGTAAGGGTTTAGGGTTAGGGTGAGGGGTGAGGGTTAGGGTCGGGTTTAGGGTAAGGGTGAGGGGTAGGGGTTAGGATTTAGGGTTGGAGTAGGGGTTAGGGGTGAGGGTGGGGGTTGGGATTAGGGGTTAGGGTTAAGGGGTCAGGGGTCAAGGGTCGGGTTAGGGGTTAGGGTGAGGGGTTAGGGTTTGGGGTTGGGGTTAGGGTGAGGGGTTAGGGTTAGGGTTTAGGTTGGGTTAGGGGGAGGGGGAGGGTTTAGGGGTTAGGGTTAGGGTGAGGGTTAGGTTAGGGTTGTTAGGGTGAGGGTGAGGGTTAGGGTGTTGGGGTTGGGGTTAGGGTTAAGGGTTAAGGGTTAGGGTTTAGGGTGGGAGTGGGGGTGGGGGTCAGGGGTCGGTTAGGGTTTAGGGGTTAGGGTTAGGGGTTAGGGGTAGGGTTAAGGTTAGGGGGTAGGGGTTAGGGTTAAGGGTTAGAGGGTTAGGGTTAGAGGGTTGGGTTGGGGTTAGGGTTAAGGGTAAAGGGTTAGGGTTAGGGGTTGGGGTTGGGGTTAGGGTAGGGGTTAGGGTTAAGGGTGAGGGTGAGGGTAGGGGTAGGGTTAAGGGTTAGGGTTAGAGGTTAGGGTTGTTAGGTTTAGGGTTAGGGTTGTTAGGGGTAGGTTAGGGTTTAGGGGTTAGGGGTTAAGGGTTAGGGGTTAGGGTT